AGCCCCTCAGTCACCAAAGGCATTCTTTCATTGCTAAAATACATTTTTTTTTTTAAAAAAAAAAAGCTCTTCTGTTTGTTTTGAGATGAAGTCTCACTGTGTACCCCTTGGCTCTCCAGTAACTCACAGATAACCACCTGCTTCTGCCTTGCAAGTGCTGGAGTTAAAGGCATGGTCCACCATGCCTGGCTAACTTTGAAGTCCTGATCCTCCTGCCTCCACCTCCCAAGGGCTAGAATTGTATGTACTATGTTTCCAGTTTTCAAAAAGTCATATATATATAATTTAAAAGAGAGAGAGAGAGTTGGTCATTTCCTCTCAGCATGTAGGTGGTCCCTAGCATCTAATTCAGGTTCTCAAGCTTGGGAGCCAGTATCTGTGCCTGATGAACCATCATGCTGGCTTCATCATATCTCTTTTTATGGATTAAATATTAAGAATACTTTTCTTCAGCCAGGGCTACACAGAGAACCTTTGTTTCCAAAAATAAAATAAAATAAAATAAAACAACAAAAAAAAAACCCTTTCTTTCAAAATACTTATTTATGTGTGTGAGCCTGCAGGAGTTTGTGTGTAGCATGTGCATACAGGTGTCCACTGAGGTCAGAGGGCACTGGATCCCCTGGAATGGGTACTTGTGAGCTGCCTCGGGTGGGTGCTGGGAGCTGACCTCTGTCCACTGCCACGCCGCCTCTGCAGCCCCAGCAACATGTTTCAGGTTTCAGTAGCAAAATGATATCCTTCAATGTCTTTTTGTTTGTCTGTTTGTTTTGTTTTTGAGAGAAAGGGTCTGGCTGTCCTGGCACTTACTCTGTACACCAGGCTGGCCTTGAACTCACAGAGATCCGCCTGGCTCTGCCTCCCAGTGCTGAGATTAAAGGTATATGCCACCACACCTGGCCTTTTCATTGTCCTTTTTCAAAGAATAGTTATTCCAGCCATGGTAGCACATGCCTTTAAGGTCTAGTACTCAGGTGGCAGAGACATGCAGAGATCTGTGAGTTCAAGGACAGCCTGGTCTACAGAGTGAGACTCTATCTAAAAAATAAAACAAAAATAAAAAAAACACTTAAAAATGTGTGTGTGTGTGTGTGTGTGTGTGTGTGTGTGTGT